CCAAAAACAACACATTAATAATGCCGCAGCCACCGTATTCCCCAGATCTGACCCCCTGTAACGTTTTCTTGTTCCCGAAACTCAGGAAACCCATGAGAGGAGATAAAGGGGACAAAATAGATATTCATGGATAAGTAAATATTTTTTAAAAAAACACAAAATTCGCGATACTTTTTGAACAGACCTCTTGTGTAGGTACAATAGAACTTCTGGAACTCGAACATCTATAACTCGATATCTTTTTTAATTCTAATATGCTTTTGCTTCCTTATATTTATTATAATATTTGCAACTCGAATTTTTCTCTAACCAGAGATTGGAGTGTGGGTTTTATATTATAAACTGTCTCTTTGAAAAATCAGCCGCAGCGATTTCTCGAGTTTTTAAACGAATACTTCCATAAATTTAAAACAATACTATCGAAAACATTAAAAACCAGCGATTAGTTTAGGATCATGACGTTACGGCAGGAAAAGACAATACGAACGAAGTGCATAAATTGTCTATCTTCGGGACTTAAAATTATAAGGTTTATTAGAGGTGGACGTAACATTAATATAAGTACGTAGACGTGATGTCGTAGAAAAATTAAACAGTTTGACGATAACGCCGAATTCTTCCTCAACTCGAACTTTCTCTAACTCGCAGATAACTGGTTACACATAGGAGAATTGAGCTATGGAAGTTTGTATATTACATGATTAGTTGCGAGAATCAAAGCTCCTTTACTTAATATGTGGAAATGCTACTTTCACTGATTCCACAAGTTAATTTTTTTGGTAAAGGTTTAGATGATGGTCCCCACCCCCCGAAGGGGGTGGAAGTAGGGGGGATCGAAAGAGAAGGTCTCCCCTACCACTGTACCATAAAAAGTTCGTAGCGGTCTCACGTGGACAAGTGGACCTTGTTGGAGCATACGTAATCCTAAAATGTAGCATCGTGCTACAGATGGCGTTTACTGCGCCATTGGTAGTATTTTCTAAAACGCACTGTTAAGACAGCAGGTAAAAGTTGGTCTGTGTTCTGGCGGAGCTGCCTGGGACGCGCTGATGAGATCCAAAAAGATCGAAATCGCGATCCGCGTGTGGCAGTTTCGACTAGTGATGGGCATAACGATTCTTATTCGATAACGTTGCAAATTGGAACTTTGAATAAAAATAACGTTTTTAAAAAACGTTATTAAATAACGTTATTTTGAAACAAATCAAAACGGCTTTTTCGATTATTTTCAAATTATAATTAAGTTGGGGTAATAAAAACAACATAAAATTTAAAATAAAACACATTTTATAAATATATGATAGATTCATTTAAACATAAATGATTATCGATGGTCGATCCGTTCCGTTCATCTGTTCTGTTGTGTTGCAGCGCTTGCCACTTTACGTTCCTCAGTAACGAGTTATACGATAAATAGTAACGTTCCGTAACGTTGCAACAAAATAACGTTCCAAAATAACGTTAACGGAATAACGACCCATCACTAGT